CTGAAAATCAAGCCACATACTGGGGAGTCTAAATATGGTGGTGGATTGCACATCACTCCCCCATCCATTCGCTGTGATGCTGCAATCCTCCGGGAAGTCCAGCAAATTGAGGAAAACCACGGAGGGCACCAATCCTTAGGTCTTGTCTGTTTGCTGGATCAGAAAGAAGGCCCTCAGCTATAAACTGATTATGTATCCCAACATCCTTTCTTTGTCTGCTTTGTCTGGAGAATCCCATTTGAATCTTTGAAGAGACCGCAAATAGGAAATCTGTCAGACAGTGGGTCTCCTGCGCAGGGCGTAGGCGAAGCTTTGAAGGGCTAATAAGTGGAGAAATTACATTAGCACATCCCTTCCTCTAAGAGAAGTTACATACAATGTCACAATAACACAATTTTATTTTTAATACAATGGACCCTAAAGGTATTAAAGTTAATTCAGTAAGATTTAACTTAATTCAATAAGGTTTGCCCATCATATCACAGGAAATTGCCACATGTCCCACTAACTTGGCTACAATGCTACTTTTATTCACTGTGGGTAAATTTCACCTTAGTTGCAAGGCTTTCTGAACTAAGTTCTATCACATTAGAGCTACGCTTAGGGTTATAGATGAAGCCATTTACAGGGGTTCCTCTTCACGCCGTGACAGAAGGCCTCTCTAAATCAGCATTACCCTCATAGACTCTGTTATTCTCTCATTCTGCATTGGGTCTTTCACAAGGTATTTGTTTGTGACTTCTTGTGAACACCAGTCAGCTTTCCAAGCTTCATCAAGGTTGAAGTCACATTATCGAAGGTTAAGCGTGCGGGTCCACAAGGGCTGGCGCAACTTCAAGTGATGGTGAGGGACATCACTGAGGTCCTGGTGGATAGGGAGACATTTGTTTTCCTCAATTTGCTGGACTTCCCAGAGAGCTGTGGCATCATGGAGAATGGGTGGGGGAGTGACGTGTGACAACACGGGTAGTCAGGCTGTTGGGGTCGACTTGTGGGCTCCAGTGACGCACCACATTACAGTGTTCAGTTGGACATCAACAAGTTGAGCGTGGCTACTTCTGGTTCATACCGGTGCACAGTACTTGGCTATGGAGTACACAAGTGCCACTGCTGAAGTCTGTAGCACTGATGCTGATCCTCCCCATCTTGCCAGTTTCTGGACCAAGTGGACCCTTGTCTTCATCTTGGTGGGGACCTTCTCCAGGTGGTTGTGAAAGGTTAGCATGCGGTCCAGCTTCACTCCACAATAAGTCGGAATGGGGTCATGTCACAGTGTTCCCACGGAAGCTCACTTTCAAGTTCCGTTTAGTATTTCTGGTATCAACATGGAATTCAGTGACTGTTGTTTTGTGGGGGTTTGGCTTGAGCCTCCATTTCGGAAACATTCCTCCATGGTGTTTAGGTCCCCATTCAAAGCTGACTCGGTATTGTTGAAGCCGGTTGCTTGTGTTGCCAGGGCAAGGTCATATGCAAATTTGTGCAACTTCATTGGCAGCATGTTACTCATAGAGACATTGAAGAGCATGGGCGTGAGTACTGAGCCTTGTGGCAGTCCGTTGTTGAGGAACCAGGGTGAGCTGACTTTGTTGGCTCCAAATGGACACATAGATGCCTATTGCTCAGCCTCATCCGTAGCAGCTGGAATGTTTTGAGGCAGGAGATGATCCTTGCAAGCTTCAGCATCAGGTCTTTAATTCATGCTGTAGGCCAATGACAAGTCTACAAAAGCTGCACCGGTCTTGGATTTCTTCTGGAATCCAGCCTCAATGTGCATTGTAAGGGCCAAAACTTGGTTGTAGCCAGGGCCGGCGCAACCCATTAGGTGACCTAGGCGGTCGCCTAGGGCACTACAATTTGGGGGGCGGCGACTGTGGCGGTATTTCGGCAGCGGGACCTTCCGCCGCCTCTGTGAGGGGCGGCATTTTGGGGCAGGACTTTCCGCCGCCTAGGACGGCAGAAAAGCTGCCGGCGCTCCTGGTCATAGCATCTGCATTTAGGCCAGAATCCCGCTTGTTCTTTGGGAATCACTGATTCAAAGAGAGGGCTGATTTTCCGGAGGATGATAGTTCCAGAAGTTTGTAAGTCATGCACAGGAGTGATATTGGCCTATAGCTTTCCGGGTTATCACTCTGCTTGTCCAGTTTGAGTATAGCAGTGACCATTGCCTCCCTTCATGCTTTTGGGATGCATCCGGATTCCATGGATTAGTGTACAACTTCACCAGCCATTGGAGTCCCTTGGGGCCTAGATGATGAAGAAATTCTTCAGGGGAAACCATCTCCGCCAGCTGCCTTCCCTTTCTTCATTGAGACGAAACCCTCCTTTACTTCATCTGTGCTGATGGCGGTGGGGTCTTGTGGAACAATTAAGGTCATTGTCCAGTGTAGTTGACGATGGATTTCTTGCTTGGTGTTGGGCCTTTTGGGCTCTCCACCAACACAGGGAATAATAGTGAACTAATGAACACTGTGTCTGCCACACGCACTGGTAAGGGCTTCATGCTCCTCTCTGCCTGAGGATCTGTCTGCATTACTGTAACTTAGAATCTATAAAACTTTGATCAGTCTGGTTCCCTGAACGTCTGTCTATTCATATAAAATACAGACAGCTGTTCAAAAAAATAAACTTATGTCTTAAATGATGAAAAAGCATACATCCCTTCACTGCATCCGAATGGTTTAATTCCCCTCATAGATTCACACAACAGAGATTAACTTTGATGTTCTTTCCTTCCCTCTCTCACCAAAGCATGGGCAAATTGTAAGAAAGAGGAGGATCTAAGCAACACTATTGAATAAGTTAACAGTTAGGAAACTGTAACTAGAAACAGCCATTTTACTAACATCTCCTTTCTAACTGAAAAGATCACTTCTTACTTGAGCAGTAGAGGGAAGAGTGAGCGTTTCATGCTTCTGTTGTTACTATTTGTTTTATCTCTGCAAAGCTGACATCAGGATTTCAGTTTCATGTGTGAATTGCCTGGCAGCTGCTCTTAGATTGTTGAACATGAGCAGCAGGTAACACAGACCTTTAGTTTGAAATGCTTAGAAATGCTCTCTATATATACATGTCCCTGCAGGATTAAAAAAAGGAAGAAAAGAGTTCAAATGTCATTTCCACTTCTTACAGAGTTTAAAAAAATCAATGTACACCATTTTCATCAGTTAAATGTTAAACTCTTTGGTTGTCATCCAATTCTCCAACCAGAAAATAAATATTAAGCAAAAGTACCACTGTGTTCTTTCCTAGGTCACTGGGTAAAATGGGAAACGGCTCAATGAAACCCAAGCAACTGAAGTGGGCAGATAGACATGCAGCAAACGTCTCCATCAGTTCTTCTGGCAACAGCAAGTTGTTGGAAGAGCCAGCATTGGGCATCCACGCAACAGGGAGAGCTGATGTTCTTAGAAGTAAGATTCTGGAGCTGAGAAGAAAAGAAGAAGAGTTGTGAGAGAGCAGATGTCGCATCGCAGAGCTCCAGGAGCAGCTGGCTAAGCAAACCAAAACCATTGCTAACCTCACCAAGAAACTTCACAGCAAGTGTCCCCAGATGAACAAGCTGTTAACACCTGGGCAAGGAACTCCCTCCCTTCATCATAAAGTGGTTGTTAGGATCAGCCAAGCTGTCTCGGACTTGTTCTCTGTTAACAGGAGAGATGCTAAGGAAGGCATATCTGCAAAGCCAAAGACCAGGACGTAGGATCTGAGCACACAACCCAAATTTTCCTTTCAAAATGCAAGACTTCAGGTGAGCTCCTTCCAGGGCATTTGTAATTCTCTGGTCACATCTACCATTGCATTTCCTCTTCCCATGAACTCACTATATTTCACAGGGCACCTTCGCTATACGTGATGGCTCAGTGTATCCATCTGCCTTAGATTTTCACATCATGCTTCTCACCATAGTGTCTAAGCGCTGACTAGGTTTACATTTTGTGCCATGCAATGCAGTGAAACAATTTGGGGCTTTCATTTCGCCTCACTGTTCCATAGAGTTCACTGGGCCCCACTCTGTTTGTCAGCATTAACGCTGAATTTTGACAAGAGGATATGAGAGCTACGTAGGGCTAGATTATGTCTTTAAAGGCTGATCCAAAGCCCACCAAAATCAATGGGAATCTTTCCACTGGCTTCTTTGGGCTTTAGATCAGGCTGTAAAGGCCCAGCCCTCTGGAGAGGGATTGTAGGAGCTTTGCTGCAGTAGGAGCTCTGCCACCCTTTAAACACGTCCCAGCCATCTCCAGCAAACTCTGCAGACTTAGAGGGAAGACGCAGTTCCTTCCACGGCCCTATCGCTTCCTCCCTTTGAGGGAAGCCACCACTATCTGGCAACAGAGCCTCTGTTCCTCGGCCACTTTGTGTCTGTCTCAGGGCACAAGGACGAGCAGGGGAGAAGCCCGTTTATATCTCCCTCACTCTTGCACGCCAGTTCAGATCTAATGGCAATGTGGCCCTTTAAACAGCAGGCAGCTACCAGCATGCAGGCTGCAGTCTGTCCTCCCTCTTCCCCCAAATTGTACATGCATCCTGGATTTTCATTTTGTGAAGAATTCATCTCTTCTTTGAATCTGTACAGTAAAAGATGTGATTAAAAATGGTCATGCTGGATTTAGCCCTCAAACATGCCCGGCATGCTATGTTAGAGGGTCATGCGTGAGCCAGAAAGGATGGATGAGTCATTTCCCAGTAGCTGATGATAATAATACAGAATAGGTTAACACGAGTAGCATCAAGCTCATAAGTCCTTTGCCATTAGCAAAAATATTGGTGTTTTGAAGGAGGGTTTTCTCCCTCGCTGCCTATCTTCTCCCATCTTGATCTTGGTAGTAATTTCAGAGGCAGGGAAGCTAGGGTATGCGGAAGGAAGGTCTGACTCAAACACATCCATTACCGATAACAGCAAATAGAACACAAACAAATACAGTTCAAGTCACCCTAAGGGGCCAGGGTGTCTCTCCCCCTTGAACGAGCAGTACAGCTGGAAGGTAGCCATCATTGGTCCCATCTGGGAGACGTGTCAGTGGGTGTCTCCAGCTCCTATGCCCCCAGAGTAAAGGTTGCAGGGGGTGTGCTGGGAGCAGAGGCGGATTTCAGCTGCTCTCCACCGATTCTCAAGGGGTGTGCAGTCCTTTTGGGTAACAGAGGCAGCGTGGAAGAACTAGAGCAGCCCCTTGGCTACTCCTACTTATGCTGGGACTGGTAGAGACTCACCCACAGCTCTCACTAGCTCCTTGACCCGACCCCCTCCCCCACTCAGGTGGATCTAGGTGCAGGAAAGAATCTAGCCTGGGCCATGTTCTCTCTGAGTTTGCTCTAATGTGAAAGTTTTCTTTTAAAAGTTGTAGTGGGCTTCTGAAATCCTTCCATATGGGGCGAGGGATAGCTCAGTGGTTTGAGCATTGATCTGCTAAACCCAGGGTTGTGAGTTCAATCCTTGAGGGGGCCACTTAGGGATCTGGGGCAAAATCAGTACTTAGTCCTGCTAGTGAAGGCAGGGGCTAGACTCGATGACCTTTCAAGGTCCCTTCCAGTTCTAGGAGATGGGATATCTCCATAAAAAAAAAATGTCTATGTCGATCTCCTCAATAGATGCATTGAGTTATGAAAGTGTCGTAGAGGAGTGTTACTAAAGATTTGAGTCTGAGCTGCACTGATGAAGACATTTCTGGCTTCTCCATCAGGCCTATACCCTGTAGCAATGAGGCCATGGAAACCTCAGAGGCTCCATGGCCAGAAATCACACTTTTTGCGTGGCCGGGAGCCTTTCGGAGTGATTTTGCAGTATGGTTTGAGGGAAACTGACCATGCAACTCCTGTTAAGTTGCGCTTCTAATTTCACTGCAGTGAAAGTGAACTGGCCATAGAATCAGAGGTAATGATCACCTACAATAACAGATTAAACAAGAGCCTTGCCTTTTACTTTGCAATGTTGAGTTCTGGTTTTAGGAGGGATGGTTCTGTATGGCTGTTGCTCTAACAGGCAGAACGGAGGACATGGATATACTGGAGAATAGCAACGAGTCAGTTTAGATAAGACAAAGAAGGGGGGAAAAGTGAAGGGTAAATAATTAGTTGTCTTTTTTGTTTTTGTTTTTGTTTTTTTTACAATATGCCTGGCTTAACTGCCAATGTGCATGCTGCCTCTGCTAGCTGCAGAACAGGGAAATGAAGTCAAAGTTTTCCCTTACAACGTGACAGGAATTGTTAGGCAAAGAGAAGAACTATGTCTCAGAGGAGTGTATCTTTTAGGAGGAGAAACCATGGCAGAACTATGATTTATATGGTATTATAAAAAGTCCTGTAGCATCAATGGCTCATGAAGAGATACATTTTCTCACATTTCTGACTCTATTGTTTAAAATTGCAACCTTAACATTACATTAACAGTGGGTTTGATATACACACATTTGTTTCTAAAGACTAATTCAAAATGTTACATTCATGCGAGTTACTTTGAGTTACTTCACCTTCTAAAAGATGATTACCTGAAAGGGAAGAGGAGGGAAAGGAGCTGAAAGAAAACCTAGTCCAGCTGCGTGAGAGTTCTCTCCCTGCACCAGCCCAACCCCTCAGCCTGCATCACTCTTGTGTGCAAAGTTTCTTTTTAATTAGTTTACAGGCTAAATTTTTACTATCTCGCAATAGGGGTTTTAAAAAAAAAGAAGAGAGAAACTGAAATTTTAAAGCTAAAACTAAAGGATTTATATACCTCTCTCTCAAAATGTATTTAAACCTTTGTTTTGTTTATTTCCTAAATGGTAAGTTGGATGTTTAGTTGAAGGCTAGGACTTATTCCATCAGGTTTGGTCAGAGGAATTGGTCTTCAGCTCTGGAACAGATGTGAGAAGCAGATCACTGAACTGGGTCCAATTAAAAACCTGGATCTGTAAATTCCTAACTAAACACACAAGTGAAAAATGAAAATGGCAATTGGGTGTGTGAGAGAAGGTAGTGGGGGGAAATATTGTGCAGTTGATGGAAAAAATAGAATAATAGGATCCCGCTTTTCTTTTCATCCCAGGCCTGGTAAATCCTGACTGAGGAGCTGGGATCAGCCCTTATTTTCATGCATAAGCAGCAGAAAAGTGTGTGCAGATATGCAAGTTAGGGGTGAAATTAACCGAGAAGCTGCACAAACCCATTTAAGTCATGTCAATTTCCTTCCTCTTGATCTTCAATAATTAATTAGCCCTTCAGAACAAGGACTCTGTGGCTAACATCTCAGGATTCCGGATCGGGTGAGAAACGCAGACTGAATTTGTTTGACATCATGGTCATGCAAAGAGCAGAATTCCTGTGAATGTCAGTGCTATTCACAGTAAGTGCTGAGGTATGTGTACCCCTGCGAACTGGACCATACCTACAAAGTCTGATTTTAGGTGTACCAGACTTGGCCATGTCCCCAAAGCATTAATTTGAAGGAACAGGTGAAATCAATAGGTAAGGAAAAATATCTAAGTCAAACACACTTATTACATGTATGTATTTAGTGAGATTGACCAACAATGTTTACATATTTTAGTAACACTTCTCTCTTATTTAAAAATATTTTTTGGATGCTGGAATGTAAGAGACTTCAATAATGCAGAAGAGTAGTACTCCTGCATACATACATATAAGTGTTCTCAGTACAACTTGGTTGATTTATATACCTTGTTCTAGTTCAGGTGACGGTACAAGCCAATATAAAACGCTCATTTTTATAGTGCACGATACCTGTTTTCTTTTTCCTAAAGGGACTTGGTATAACACAGCTAAATAAAGCAGAAATGATTTTCCTTCCCTATAATTTTTATTTCTTTCCTTTCTCCTTTTTTCTCTCCCCTACCCCAATTGTTTTAATCTCTGACTCAAAGTCCATTGAAGTTAATGGAAAGACTCCCATTTATTTCAATGGGTTTGAGATTGGACCTTTATTTTTTTCGTTTTGATCCCGGTTTTACTGAAGTCAAGGGTTCCTTTTGACACTGACTTAAATGGGAGTAGGATAAGGCCTTTTGTTTGCTTTTGAGCTCTTTAATTTCCTTCCTTCTCCCCTTTTGTTATTACTTTATATTTGCCTTTACCGTAACTCCCCACTTAACGTCCTCTTGCTTAACGTTGTTTCGATCTTACGTCCCTGCTCAATTACAGAACATGCTACATTTAAAGTTGTGCAATGCTTTACTATAACGTC